GGATAAGTCTTTGGATTACTTGTGCCAAAAATAAACATCATTGCAGGCATAATGCACTAATCATAATAAATTTTCTGCGAGTCATTAATTTTACATTTGATTATATAAAGTAGCCCACTTTCTGCTGTATGTAATATTTCAAGTCATACAATTTAAAAAAAAATAGAATTCACAGCTCTTGTAAGTTTTAAATGATGAAATATCTCAACTTGAGGGCCATAAGGGAATTCCAAATCTGTGAGTTGGGTTTCACTGCCAAGTTTTGGAGATGTTCAGATTAACACCACTCAATATATCTTAACCAAGTTATGTTTTGTGACCATTTTCAATCAGTAATATATTTAAATTCTAACTTTAGGCATCATTTATTAGGTGCAACATTTTTTTTATTCCATTCACTAATTATATTTTCTGACAGCAGATCTAATCTGTGCCAAAATTATTAAGGATTAATTCCAAAGAAACTGACAACAAAAGTGATGATGGCACGTCACTCAGAAGTATATTGGCAGGAACTGAGCAGATGAAGTTATTAATAGCTGTTAAAACTAGGTAAGCTTGCCACAGTGTGCAGATTCCAGAATAACTTGGATCTTATATCTTCAGAGACTAATCTATCATAATGAACATGGACCAAGATCTATCTGTGGCTTCTAGAGATAGAGAGATAAAGAGATAGGTTGAAGGCAATTTTTATTTATTTCTTCTCCATCTACATTTTCAACCATGCTGCTTCAGAGGTTCACCAGTTCTCAGGAATAGATTTTCAGGGAAAGAAAAGGCTGCAAGAATAAGAGGAATACAATGAAAATCCCTCCTATCTGATTCACCTCCCTACCAGATTTTGGATTAGTGGGTAATAAGGATGGTGAGGTTTTTGCTACATGTTCTAGAATCTTCCCATATGCATGGACTATTTCTAGCTTGGCCTTATTCCATTTTTGTGGTTACGTCATAGCAAACAGCCTGTTTTAATCACACCATAATTTACAAATAAGATTGATCAGGATCATGATTTTAATAATTTTGTCTTGAAAGCTCTGTTAATACAAAATGGCCAGAAGTAATGCTATACATTTTTTGGTCACAAACCCATCTTTAGGGCTGCTAAACACCCATTTCTTGCTTTACTTTGTTTCTGATATTTAATATTCAGGCTTTGGAGATATGTTTCTCCGGTTTGATATTGACCTGTGCTTCCTTAGATATTTCATTCAATCAAAATGTAGTTGCTTAAGATATCAAAAGCCTTTCATCTCACATCAAAGAGATTTAAGAATTTCTAAAAACCAATATGTCCATCATTTTTTATGAAACCCGGTACAAAATATCAGAATGAAACTGCATTACATGCATTTCATTCACCATATAATCCTACATTCCCCAACTTCTTCCCAAGCTGTGATGGGCCTACTACATCTCTCAGAATTTCCAGCAAATGTACTCGAGAATTCTGGGAATTTCAGTCCTAAAGCATCTAGAGAACATCAAGCTGGGAAAGTCTAATCTAATCTATCTTTGATACAGACTCCAGATCTGGTCGTATCCTGTAACATTTTTTGCCTTCATCAAGGCATAGCCTTTTTCGTTTGATTTTATTCTGTAATTTTAGACTGTTAAGTCACCTGATCAGTTTCCTCCATATTTTAACAGATCTAAGCAGAAATCTTCACCAACTGAAAGCAGAACAATAAAACACCTGCCATTCAGATGGCAGAGGGGTGTAAGTATTGCTTGCCATCTAGAAGGGGGAAGCCAATGGTATATCAGCAGTCATACCCCACCACTACCAATATTTCTCTGTAAATCTCTATTACTGGTATTCTAATAGTAATATTGGATTATATGACCCTCATTCCCCTGGAACATCCTTGAAAATGGTTCAAACCCTTTTATACCATCACTTAGACTGGTATTACTCATTCCTTTTACATTTAGAGTTAATGCATGGCACCATTCTCAAAAGTGTTTTCTCCGCTGCCATTCCCTGTTATTTCCTTCATGGCTGTAATATGAATGACTCCATTGTAACTTCTCTCTACAGATACTCACTTGCACATGCATAAGCAGAATTGCTCTGTGTACAGCAATATATTAGCTGACTGGCAGTTACATATTAAGGTTACCAGCCTGGTAGCATACTCTAAAAAACAGAATATGCATTGTTTCTGTTGTTATATATTGTAAAAAACTTTGCCAAAGCTTGGTCTACATAGTCTCCTGAAACAAAACTCCCTGATACACAGGTACAACAATAAAGTAAGATTACTGTAGTATTAAAGCCATAACTTCAGCAGCATAAGGAAACCGCACATAAAATGGGAAACATGGAGCAATCAGCACCTTTGTGTGCAAATAAGCAATGGGAGATTGACTGGAAATTGATCCTGGGGGCTGATCTAATACTACAGATCTTTTTTCTTCAAAATAAAAATATGGGATTTCAGTAAGCTGTTTTAAAAAGAATGCATAATATAATGTGTACTTTACCACTTAGGATTATAGTGAAAGGAAAGCATTTACTTGGAAGCTATATCATTGCTGAAGCATGTGATCGGCCCTCCATATTAGTTTTAACAAGCAAAGAGAATATAGGCTGAACAGTTAATTTTTTATTAAAGGCTTTAAAAAGAGGTTCTTTTCTCCCTGGTAATCAGTGTGGAACAACTGGTATCAATATGACACAATATTATTGTGTCAGGCTCCTCCTGTCTATGTTATTGTAAAGTAAAATTGACTTGACTGAGCAATTATTTGACTGAGAGGTTAAAGATCAAGGTCTGCCTTTCCTTCTACATGCATTAATATGAAAACACAAGAACTAGAGGGAAAACTGTTATAAAAATGACACATTATTGCCAATAGCTTTTAGAACTACAAAATACATGCAGACAGTTCTAGGCATCATATATCCCTCAAGAAAAAAAAGTTAAATATATTTAATTATTTAATTAATTTAAATTATTTAAAACATATTTAATGAACACAGAGTAAAATATAGATCATCCATGTATAAATCTAGATAGCTATATCTATCAATCTATCTATACAACTATATCTTTATACCTAGCTATAAAATCTGTTGTAAACTAGCAAAAAATATGAGGGGTGAACATATTTTGTTTTAGTACTAAAGTTTTTTAATGTACAAAAATGGAAATACAGTACAGCATTCTTAAAGTTATAGTAGCTACTGAAAAGGTCAAAAGGGGAAGAGAAGATGTTTCCAAAATATGTGGAATACTGAAAATAACTGGAACAAAGCTTCTATGATTAAATGGGTGGGGGAATGTTCAGAATAATTATGGTCAATATTTAGAGATTTTTATTTATGAAAAGTTCACTATATTTTAATTGAAGAGGCAGTTATAAAATGGCAAAGTGACGTTTCACAATAGATGCTGGAAACAATGACAATCCATGGTGACTTCTTTCTTTTATATTAATGACGTGATGACGATGTGAAATAAGATTTTAGGAATCGGTGACTGTACTATAAATTTCCCTTCCATAACTTTCCTAGCTGTATTCCTTCTTTGTTTTTATTTTTGTTTCTGAATCAAAATCGCTTAGGAGCCAGTGAAGCAGAACAGAAGGAGCTGTGCAAATACGAGAGACCCTCGGCCTCTCCTCAGGTCTATTTTGAATGCTCTGCAAGCTACGCTTTTGCCTTAATGTGGCATCATTCCTCCTGCAGATGTAAAAGCAGCTGAGGCAGGGATTTGCAATTTAAAGAAAACAGTGTTGGTGGGTTTGTTTGTTTTTTCTATAAGCATTTCATGTTTAATTTGTTTGATTATTCGTTCAACATAAGCTCTCACAAAACTGGAAACTTTCCTGGGTAATGGTGTTTATGTATTGTTTCTAGTTATCGCTTAACCTCGTAAATAATCCAGTTCATTAATTACATAGTAAAATGTTATTACTGATATATGATTGCACTTTTTCTTAATTAATTAGGTAAAACAAACCACAAAAAAACCAAAACAAATAAAAGGGATTGAAAAACATACACAGATAGAAAAATAAACCTTACACTAGAGTGAAGGTTGAAATGAAAATATGATTATAATAAAAGGAAAAAGAACAAAACATTATAGGAAAAAGCATTCTAGTAGTCCCTCTCTCCCCCTTTTATTCCCCCCACCCACCAACTGCTAATGCTACTGAAATATTTTTATACTACTCTTTGGACATCTGATTATTGCTTGTGTCTATTTGGGTCATTTTAATGATTTTTAAACAATTTATCTTTTTCTTCAAAAAGCATATTCTAAGTATCTTAGCTTGCCTTGCTGTGCTGTATATAATGTTATATATAAGGGAATCATTCCTGCTTGAATTTGGTTAGACTTCTGTGAATATCATGTCATTTTTTTCATTGCCATGTATTTTAGCTTGTACTGTCAGCAAAGTTTCTCTTTTCCAATGTTGCACCAGATTGATTCTTGCTGCTGTCAACATGTATCTTAATAAATTGTGATCCTTTTCATTTATGTTCTCTGCGGTCGTACCTAATGAAAATATTTGTGGTTTTAATTCTAATTTTATTTTTAAGGTTTTCTGGATACTTTGGCGTGTTTCTTTCCAGTATTTTTTAGCCTTTTTACCTTTCAACCACATATGGTGCAATGTTCCTTCTTTGTTATGACATTTCCAACATTTATCATTGTATGATTTATCCATCTTGGAAATCATTGATGTAGTCGTATACCATCTGTAAAACATTTTGTAACAATTTTCCCTCAAATAGTACCTTGGTGCAAATCTTATTGATATTTCCATAGTTCTTCACTGTTCCACTGTTACTACTTCTTTAAAGTTTTGCATCCATTTTATCATACAAATTTTAAATGTCTTCTGTCTATAATTTGTAATAATTTGTATTTACATCACAATACATTATCTTGATTCTGCATAGAACAGTGAAATATGAACAATGCCTTCTCTAGATTCTAGTGCAGCAGCAGTAGCAGGCCAAGGGTGATGATGTCAAAAAGAAGCAAGCAGTACATTTGGGGCTTCTAGAGGAGGATGAGTTTGAAGAGTTTCCTCCCAAAGATTGGGCTGGTTTAGATGAAGATGCACATGTGTGGGAAGATCATTGGGATGATGAAAGTGGAAGATGATTTCTCCAATCAGTTAAGAGCAGAACTGGAAAAACTTTGTTACATGATGAAAACCACATAGCTTCCAGTGGTGTTTTAATCTGTGTTTGGACTGTAAATTGATCACTGATATAGGGAGTAGATGGACTAGAGGACTATCTGTTGCTACCCTAAATTTTGTTTCTGTTTTCTATAAATAAAGTTTTGAATCTTAAAAAAAAACAAAATGCCCCACCCAAACTACTTTTGCACCCAAGGTCTGATAGCTTCCTCCTTTAGGATGCATGCATACATTATTGCCATCACTCCTGCAAACAGAGATAGGAAAAAGCTCACTGGATGTACCTAAACAATCATTTCATTAATTAATATATCTTTTGAACCACATAATGAAGAACATATTGTAAAACAAGAGCAGTTTTAAATTTGATCAGTCCCAACACAAATGATACCAGACATGGAAAAAAGCCAAAGTTCCTTTTTTGGAAGTCGATCAAAATCTCATCATAACATCATTAATTGTTAGATAAGTGGCCACAGAATATTCAGTTGAAGGTAAACCAAAAAACAAACAAACAAACCCCCAAACCCTTGGATTACTACAGGGAAGATCAGGGCAAGGAGCTAAGACATTTTGCAATTTGAAGCAAAGCAGCAAATGATGCCCTCAAGCTGCTCAAATCAAGATGTATAGTCTTTTTAAAAATGGCCAGGTTATTCTGGCACATGCCACAGAAAATCCTACAAGTGTGTTACCCAAATCTTTTTTTTTTTTTTTGCCTGGTGACTGCCTGGACAAGACCTTGCAGTTTTCTTGACAAGGTTTTTTGGAAGTGGTTTGCCATTGCCTCCTTCCTAGGGCTGAGAGAGAGTGACTGGCCCAGGGTCACTCAGCTGGCTTTGTGCTAAGGCAGGACTAGAACTTACAGTCTCTGATTTCTAGCCTGGTGTCTTAACTGCTACACCAAACTGGGTCTCTACCCCAAATCTAGCAAAAAAATATATCAATTTTCAAAAACTCCCTTTCTACAGTGCCCAAACTTTGCTGCCTAAGGCAGCCACCTCTGGTAGGGCCAGTCAGCCTTCCTGCAAGTGATCTGCTCAAATATACAAGTGCACACACGTACACATATATACACACACAAAGTATATTTATGCATGTAATGCATATATAAACAAATATACAATATACAGGTAATCCCTGGGTTAAGAACGCCTGGTTTACAGACCTACAGTTAAGAATGGAGCCCATTGTAGCAAAATTTGAGTTAAATACAGAATGGTTCGATTTCATCCCACAATACTACTTATACAGTATTATACAATAATACTGTTCCAACTTACATACAAATTCGACTCAAGGACAGAATTTGGGAAGGGAACGGAACTTGTTCTTAAATGGAGGACTACCTGTATATGTGAATATGTATGTGTGTGTGTGTATAAAAATACACACACACACACACACAAAACTATGGCATTATATCCTACTTTGTTCAGGAGTTTAAGAAGTCATATTTAAGTGCTCTCATCCAATCCTTACAACATCCTCACAAGGGAGGTGATACTGAGATTCAGAATAGCCCCATGTCGCCCAGTGTCTGATGACACTCTGGTATTTGCATGTTTGAACACATAAATTCTTGCTATTTGGAAGGAAAGCAACAAAATTAAATCCAAAACGACAAGTTGCATATGTATGTGTGTTTACTCAGAAGTAAAACTCACTGGATTCAGTGGGGCTTACTTCCCTGTCAGTGTATTTAGGGCTGCTGCCAAGAAACAGCATTTTCATTTAGCCTGTTTCTGTGTTCCTTACTCCAAGTTAAACCACAGGATTACGTTGTAGGTGAAATATAGATAGCTTTGTTTGGTTTTGCTGTTTCCTTACAGCCAATTATTTTTGCTACTTTTCCTAGCATTAGAACAATGTGCTTGCATTTTTATTATCAAACTGTCCAGACATTTACTGCTTTGCAAATGAGAATTTTAATCTTCCCTTGTTCTCAACAGTCTGTCAAATACAATTCTCTCATGAAAATTCTGCGTAATTGAATTCTTCTGGCAGGGGCCATGGTGACAAACAAATAGTGCCCTTCGTTAGCCTCTCTTTTAATTGTTTTTCTAATGCTGAGGATTTAAAACACACACCGTACTCTTTTAGGAAAAAAGAAAAGTCTTCAAGTCAGTTCCCAGTTACCGGCTCCACCGAGTTTTCTTGGCAGTGTTACGGAAATAGCTTGTGATGGCTTTCTTCCACGATATTTTTTAGCTCTCTGCAATTTGAGGCCTGATCTGATTTTCATAATCTGGCACACATTCAGAAACAGTAAGCCTGGCATAGGAATGGATTTAATACATTGTACTTCTCTTCTTATCTGCCTGAACAGCCCTGTCAAAAGAAATGAAGGGTTGGTGGGAATCGAGTCAGGCAGCATATCCTGCGCTACATTCACCGTCTGAGTATTATGTCTGGGATAGAATCGCCCAGACAGATTCAATCAGCCCTGTAACAAAGCTTAATTTCATTACAATGCTCACAAGACAATCACAGCCTTGCTTACAGAGACGCCAGTCGTTTCCCCTTTACCTCTGTCTGTCTGGAACTCAGATGTCGCATGCAAGAATTGGACGCAGTGCCGCTGGGGCGGAACCCCCAAAAGCACATCCTCCGTGTGGATTCCAAGCTGGAAAGTCAGAAGGAATGGGTCCTGCTTTTCTTTAGTATTAGTATTTAGTATTAAAGGAAGGTTGATGTAGTTGCCAAGCAAGGCAAAAGAGAATGGTACTTCGTGCAGGATAAGAGAGGGAGCCATCATTCCCTGCCTTGTCCTGCTTCAGACACGTTTTCTTTTTCCACGGCACAGAAGGGAACAATGTCTTTTCCTCTTTTTGCAGAGAGAGGTGCTTTTCTGCATGAAAGGGGAGGCAGGGAGTAATGTCTTTTTTTCTTTTTCTGACTTGTTGCCAAACGTGAGGAGGCAGAAACAGTGTTTGTATATCCTACCCCTTGGGGATTTGCCAGTGCTGTCTGTTGCCTGTTTTACCTGTGGATGACAGAGGAGAAGCTTATGAAGGGTCTTGCTTAAGATGGGCCACGATGAGAGGCGACAGGGAATAGACAAAATGGAAGTTCCCCATTTCTGTTTTAAAACATACATCGTTATTTCATCCATTTACAATATACCACCATTCAAGTAATCCATTAATTCATTCAACTAATTACAGATAGTTCTTCAATCACATCACAGTGCCAACGAACTAGACATGCAGAGCTAGCTGGATGGCTATAGGTCTCTAGGTCATATTTGGTTACTTCAGCTAAAAGCCAATTCATGCATTAATTGAATTAAGTGGCTTCCAGAGGATCAAGTGGCACTTATGATTCATTATCATTAAAAAAAACACTTAATACTCATGGATCTTCCCCATCAGCATATACTTTGCTTACAGAAGACCAAGCAGAACTAGTGCTCAATGATGTCACTGTAGCTAAAATCCACTACCAAGCATACCTTAATTGCAAAAAATCAAAAGCATGAGGCATTCATTATTCAATAACCAATACAAATACTCATTGGAGGACTTTGTTTCCTTGTTTGCTTAAATACTTTTGTCCTGCTTTTATGACAATATACTCAAGGCAATTTCAAAATAAGATTTATAAATCACTAGAGATAAAATAAATATTAAAATATTAATATTTATTAAAATATTCTAAGAACACAATGAAGCACACAGCAAGTAATATCACAAATGCGCCATAAAAATAGTTCAAATTCAAAAGAGAGAGAATGAATCAGCCTTTTGGTTCAGTCTATGTCTGACTACATAGAATAAAAAAGGGCTGAGCTGCAGTTCAAAAAGGCTCTTTTAAAGTAGCCAGAGAGTGGAGTAACTATAACAGAAAAATCCTTCATTGTTTTCTCCAATACTACTCCTTGAGATAAAAGATCATTGAGGAGCTCTCTTTATTCATCCTGGCAAGGTGACCTAAAAAGATACAATCCTTGAAGATTTTGAAGGATGTTGAAAAATTCAAGAATCATCAACAAGGCTACATTACCATAACTAAATCCCATCTCATGTCATCACTAAGATTTTCAAGGCAATAGATCTCCTAAATAGTTTCATCCAATAATACTTGGGGATATTGCAGATTTAGGGCCTTGCCCCCTACAAATATATATTTTGGATAATGATTCAAGATATTGGAACTTTTGAACTGTTTCTTTAGAAGAAGTTTCACTATGGTCCCTTTGGAAAAGATTTCAACTTGCCTTCCTTCTGTGAAATATTGATAGCTTTTTAAAACAATGTGAGTTTAAGAAAGGGGGAACTAAAGACTTATCATTATTCTGTTGTAACTTCAAATCAGAAAGACACTATGAAAGAACATAACCCCACATTGGCTGATAGTATCAGAGTAGTACAGTCATTGAGAAAGGTTCTGAAGCACTTTAAGGAAGATTTCACTTTAGTAAGTGCTAGAACATTAATCAGGAGAGTTAACAAGGGGAAAGGGAGATGTAGATATTTCATTGTACTGTGTGATAAAAAATTAAATGAATAAACTGTAACTAAATCAAAACAACTTCTTGAATAAGACAGAGAGATTTGTTACACTCATGACAAACGTATGCTGCAGAAAAAGCCACCAAATGATCTAGTAATCAGATTCAATCACAGAAGAGGAGGGAGAGTTGGAGTTCTCTAGGATACTAAATGAGCTTTTTTTCCAAAACAAATTAAACTTCTTCAGCCTAAGTAGTAAAACCAAAGAGAAGTAACAAATGAAAAAAGTGATAGAAATCTATCAAAAGTGGCAACAAGGTGGAATTTTGATGATGTTCATCAGTGTTTCTTGTTAAAGTTGTTCTGCTGTGAGCATGGCCCCACTTATCGATTTAGACTTGCAATTGTACTGTATGTACTTCTGCCTCCATGAAGACTTGCCCTAACATACTTTCTTCAACTGGTTGAAGAAATGAAATCAGAAGTTAGGAGAGATGGAGATTAAAGGGAAGAGAGATCCAATAATTGTCATTTTATTCACTGATATTTCTATCATATAGTTAGGAT